GTGTTATTTAGAAGTGAAAAGAAACATAAATATGTAATTACTACTACTACTACTACTACTACTACTACTAATAATAATAATAATAATAATAATAAGGAGAAGAGGTTCATCTTTCTCCTGCTGGGAATCGGAAACATAGGTTGATTTTCAAAAGCTTAAACAGCATTAAATCCAAGAAAATATAACTAATCATAACCTCCGCTGTGACAGCCTCAGATCCTGAAACTAAAGGCAGTTCTTACAGGAGCGGTGCATTTCGTGACTATTTCTGGAGTCGGCCTCTTGCAGCGGATCTATAGGCAATATAGTTTTAAATTGGAAAGTTATTCCGGCGCAAATTTGATTGAGAACAGCGTGAAAAAGGTGGGTGGGGGGTGCGGGGGTTCTCTTCTGATAAATGTGGACTCGTGGAAGGTTTGACGGCCACTTCTGACCGTGACGCCAGTTCAAGCATATCCTTGTTTCCCCCTCCCACTCTCCGCCGTGCGAATCCCCTCCAAACTCGGACATCCTCGTCACGGAACAATAGCAAAGCGCTTGTAGATTTGTGTGTCAGTTAACATTTGGCCCCTCCTCAAAGTCGGCTCAAATAACAGCAGTGGAGTGATTGGGAAGCATACCAGTAGATCGCGTCGCGGTGTCGGGCGCCAAAACCACGACGGGAACTCAACACGTCCGAATTTTCTGTGTCACTCCTGTGATAGTGGAAATATATTCCACTCCAAACCTCATTCTCCAAAATTACAGGTAAGCAGAAATATAAGTGTTATAAAGAGAAAATAATGGGAACCCAAAAATATTGAAACAGAGGAGTGTAATTTTCTGATATGTAGCGCGGTTCATTCTAGTAAAAGTTTATCCACTGGGATTACTGGGAGTTACTGGACTTTGCCCATCGTCCGGTATTCTAAAGAACGCAACGTTTCGGAAACTGTATCTGTTTCCGTCATCAGGTGAGGGGTGAAAGACACCGTCTCTGCCGGGTCATTTAGAAAGAGCTAACCAGTATGAGTGAGGTTACATCTTTCTAACGGACCCAACAGGGTAGGTGTCTCACACCCCTCACCTGAGGACGGAAACAAATACAGTTTCCGAAATACTGTGTTCGTCAGAATACAAGAAGATGGACAAAATCTAAACTGCCAGTAATCCCATGTGTTTTACACCATCTTAAAAATCTTTTAGAAGTATATCGATGCTTCGGAGGAGCGCATTGCCTCTATTTTCAGGGTCCAAGTATAAGCCATTCAAGCAACCAGCATGGAACAAGTAACATGAGAAGCCTACATTTGATCATTACTTCTTGCTGGTTGATTGCGAGGTTCACTCTTCGACAGGGCGTGGGATGTTGGTGGTGGTGTGGTGGGGGTGAAGGTAGTGGCAGTGCGTTTGAACGAAACGTCGGAAAACTTCTAATAGTTTACAAGGCGCTACATCCAAGAAGATATCATTATTCAGAATATTTTTTGTCAATATATTTTTCACTTTCGTTCTCAATATAAAATGCTTTCCTTCATTACAAGAATTTTACATTGTTACTTGTTTTATGTTGAGGGAGTCATTTTTTTGAAAATGTCACATTTCACAGCAATTAAAGTCTATTAGATAGGTCCCATTTCGAGCAGGTTTTACTGGGTCAATGTCTATTTGTAATTATCTATATTCCTGTTATAAGTGTGAATGTTATATAATTTAATTCTAATAATTTTATTACATAATGTTATCTTTTCTTAATATGTCTAACCATTTGGAAACCGACTGCTAAATTACTGCAGGTCCTCGACAGCAAAATGAATCTTGTTTTCGAGTCTCACAGGACTCATCACCGTACTTCATACCCTGATGTCTCTGGGAGTCTTCAGGCTTAACTGAATTTCTTCTAAATAATATAAAAACTCAGTTCGTACCTCACAGGAAACACATTACATCTCTGCTACAAAACCAAACGGTTAGTGCTGGTTAGGGAAACAACCTCTGTTTATTGTGAGAACCATACGGAACAACAGAGACACACTCTGTATCCTGAACTCAGAGTTTTAAATTATTAAAGTGTCTGGTAGTGGCAGACACTGGACTTTAAGGGGTTAATTAGTATTTTAAACTCCATACATACGAACACGCGGGTGTGCGGGTTCAGATATACTGAATATTTTATCATGTCTCCTAATATAATTTCGTGTTTTATGTTGCACAAGTTCCTATGAAATATTCTAGTTACGGTACCAGGAGATACTGCAACATTCATAGCTGATACAGAGGGTAAAATCCACAGTCCGCTATTAATAGTCTCTATGTTTCTGGCATTTCTGCCCTGAGGACTATTCTGTTCAGACAACAAAATTTAATGTGCACCCCTTTTACCTGCTTGACCACTGTCTGAAATGTACATTAAACTTACTGTACCTACTGTCAGTCGCTACATAAATGGCATAAATACTCATAACAATGGCGATTTCAAAAATAGACGACTGTTGAAGGGTTCTGTCTTCTGGAAGATAATGCTCTGCAGTCCGGTGAAAAGCAACCGATGTTTCGAACAAGCACATCACTACCATTTTCTGAATCGAAGAGGAAACCAAGCGAGAAATCATAGCAATATATACATACGAGTATATATATATACACGTATATATATAAATTTAATTTAAAAAAGCAGGTAGCTTATAATGCTCTTTTGATGCTGTACCCAAATCCTACGGTTTATACGAGGGTCTACTGTGTGTGTGTATATATATACATATATANACAATATATATGGATAAATACCGTCTTAAGTGCAACAAATTTTATTGTAGTTTTTACTTCTTTTCCTCCTCCACACTACATGTTTCGGCCCTAAATGGCCATCATCAGGTGTGTATCACTCACGTAGCTGTTACACTGCTTGTTAAAATTTAAAATTACCAGTCTTTCTAATTGTATAAAATCTTTGTTAATCTACACGCGTCGATTTGATTTTTAAATTAGCACTTTTTAAAACTTAATTCAAGTTAAAATGTCTATAAGATCTCTGTTCTTTCTTTTTCAAATTTTTTAGTTAAATTTTTTTTCAGGGTACATGCCCTATATCTACGGTGCTGCAGCGGCCACTTCTTGTTTTTATCATTGTTCATGTGTTGTTCAGTATAGGCGCTCTCTGTGTCTGTCGCTGCTTATCTTTAATACGTTTGTATATCTTTAATACGTTTTAGGGCCGAAACATGTAGTGTGGAGGAGGAAAAAAAGAAGTAAAAACTACAATAAAATTTGTTGCACTTAAGACGGTATTTATCCATATATATTGTGTGAGTGTAACAGGATGCTGAAATATAATATTAGAAAGATTATATTATTATTTATCTGAATTATTTCTGAGAGTAAGCCACATCTTGAACAGGCGACGTTACTGAAGAAGAATCTTGTGTTCAACGTTATAACCAATATGGACATTTTAGTTATGTCATATGTTGAAAATTTAATAGAGTAATTCTATGATGATGACGTAGCGGTCTCCGTAGTCTAGGGGTAATGTTCCCACCTCCCACAAACCCGGCGGAGGTCGTGGAATTTTTAAGGACGGAAAAATTCAGGGAACAAGTCCTCCGGGATGGACGTTAAGCCGTGGGTCCCGTGTCGTAGCTTTACGGCACGTAAAAGAAACTCATAACTTAAGGGGACCACTGAGCCAAATTCAGGACATTTCCTGCCCAACAGTAGTCTCTAACGCCTCTGGTAGATGGAGGAAGCATCGAGATACCGCTGAGCCAGTAGAGGCCGAACTCGCTGGCTGAGTCGGGACTGATGGCACGCACCAGTACCGGTAGGGAATAGAGACTGGTAGAATATCATAGGGAGACGCACAATGGACCAACAGTTGGTCTAAGTGCATGGGGAAACCCACCCTCTCCAATACAATACAATACAATACAATGATGACGTAAGCACCTGTGTCATTGTCTGATAATTACGCAACCTCCAAGATGTTTTAGATGAAGTTTAGAAAGGTAATAAATATATATATCATACACGTCAAAATACGTACCCAAAAATAACATAAGAACTGTGCATTTTAGAAATAAAATTCTAATCTAATTTTCCTTCCGAATATTTTGCGATAGAAACAGAAGACCAGAAAACTAATTTTCTTTTCGGAAATTAAAAAGTAGGAATATGTCGACAAATACCAAATTTCACGGAAATCTGTTAAACGATACTAGATTTGTTTCATGGATAAGGGCTGAGAGACGTACGGACATAGCGTGTAAAATTCAGTTTGCTGAGTTTCGAAGGCGTCTAAACAAACTTGGGGCCGCAAGCTGACAATCTCCTGAAGAAAGCAGTCTTCTGGGATGTGACACCGTGTAGATGTGGTGTTAACCGACGTTTCGGAAGAACGTATCGGCTCCATCTTCAGGGTAGAAGGAAAAATAAGAAACTCCGCAAGCGAAGAGACCGTGAGAACCAGTACAAGCAGTCTGCACACCGGTCTAAATCATGACGTCAGCATCATGACTCAGACCGGTGTGCAGCGGTTTTCATTATCCCTTTCGTTTCAACTGTGCTCCTTTCTTTGTGTCATGTCGCGGACATTGTTTCTTGACTGTTACATGTCTTGACGCATGCCGGTGTGCGGCCTACCTAATAGAATCAGATTCGTAAGTGTGTATTAATATATTAAATTTCACCGACTGTCCTCTTCAGTTACAACAACCCAACAGATTATTCTGAAGCCACAAACACAATCTGCACTGGAATAAAAACTAATCGATTTATGAGAACTCTTGAATTTCGTAATCTGTAAGACAAGTGTTTCATATTGATTAAATGTGTATGAACAGTATTACCAATAACTATCAATCTGATGATCTGGTTCCGAGATTGAGTTATTTACAATAAAACTGTAAACAGATGTACTCAGTGATTATCAGGCAACAATGATATTTTCTTTACATTGGAAGGTCCAATTATTTCTCAATGAGTCTCACTTAACCCAGTTATCAAACATAGGGGTCAAGTGGTTAGCACTTTTGCTCATTGCTCTGGAGGTCCAGTGTTCAAAGCTTGGTCCTGAGAGCAGATCAACTGACTAAAGTGTTTCGTGGTTTTTCACAAATGTGTTTAACAATTTCGTCAGGAGATCAATTAGCGTCAAATGATAAGATAATGAATTATGGATTGGAAGGAATGTGAAACGATGCTATAGCGGAATAATTTGAGACATTATAGGCATTTTTTCCGGAAAAAATGAGTTAAACCACGAACAACTTAAGACAGGATAGTTGTTCTCCATGCCGAGATTTCAACCCGGTACTTTCTGAATAAGACGTAGTAGTTACGATGCTTATTGCTGTATCTTTCGAACATCCCTTTCATACTCTTAGTTACTATCTTATCTTTTCCTTCTTTTCTTCCTACTTCATTTTCTTATCCTTTATGTAGCGGCCTCCGTAGTCTAGAAGTAACGTTCCCACCTCATGACTCGTAGTACGCGGGTTCAAATACCCGGCGGAGGTCGTCGAATTTTTAAGGGCGGAAAAATTCAGGGAACAAGTCCTCCGGGAGGGACTTTAAGCCGTGGGTCACGTGTCGTAGCTTTACAGCACGTAAAAGAACCTCATATCTCCAAAGGAGGTCACTGAGCCAAATTTACGGACGTTTCCCGCCCAACAGTAGTCTCTAATGCCTCTGGTAAATGGGGGAAGCATTATAGATACCTCTCAGCTAGTAGAGCCGGTCTCGCTGGCTGAGCGGGACTGATGGTAAGCACC